CACACACACACACACACACACACACACACACACACACACACACACACTATAGCACCCACGCACGGGTGCTCATGCATGCACACACAACGAATAAAATGTAACAAATTAAAATGCTGATAAGCCAGGCGGTGGTGGCACACACCTTTAAATCCCAGCACTGGGGAGTCAGAGGCTGACAGACCTCTGTGAGCTTGAGGTCAGCGTGGTCTGCAGATCGAGTTCCAGGACAGCCAGAGTTACACAACCACCCCACCTCCAAAAAACTCCTCCCCAAACCCACTGATAATTAACTCTAAAATGCTGGGGCAAGGTTACTTAATTCCTCAATTTGGGTGTCATTTGTATTCTTTGTAAGTACTTGTTTCGTTTTAAGTGATCTTTAATAAGAAAAAAATATTAGAGTACAGGTAGTAAAAGCAGACGCATAACTGACTCGATAGCTTCTGAAAACCAAACAAGTCTTCATGCTGTAAACAAGCGATAACGTGTTCACACCGGACATGGTGCATAGCCAGACACACCCGTCATCCCAGAGCAAGGAGGCTGAGGCAGGAAGATCTGAGTTGAAGCTAGCCTGGGCTACACTGATCCCCTGTCTCAAGCATAGTGGCAGAGCACTTGCCAAGCACACAGAAGGCCCTGGGTTCAGTCCCCACTACAGCAAGATGACGCATTCATATTCTTGCTGACCACTCACACTTTATTTCCAGCTTGTAGGTATTCAGGTCTATCAGGCACGAAGCGTGTCATTTTGTTCGGCTTGAGGCAGGGTCTCACCACACAGCCCCTGCTGGCCTGGAACTCGCAGCCATCTGTTTGGGATTAAAATCTCGAACCACTACACCCCGCCTGGGTTTTCAGTTCAGTGTAGTTTAGGCTGGTGAAACTGGTAGGAATAGTAGCACGGTGTTGTTATGCCCGTTGAATAAGGCAGCGTCTTAAAGACAAACGGTTTTCGTCTTGACCAACACTAAGCTACGGGTACCGGGGTCGGGACTGTCGCAATAACCTGTACCTGCTGCCCACGGGGGAGACCGTGTACTTCATCGCCTCAGTCGTGGTGCTTTACAACGTGGAAGAGCAGCTGCAGAGGCACTACGCCGGCCACAGCGATGACGTCAAGTGGTGAGTCCTCATGGACAGGTGTCAGGACACCCAGGAGCCAGCCTCAGGCAGAAGAGTTCTTCATCAGAGCATAGGAGTGGGTGGTGCTGGGCTCCGAAGCTTTCTTTTTTTTTTTTAAGATTTATTTACTTATTATGTAGACTGTGTTCTGCCTGCATGTACACCTGCAGGCCAGAAGAGGGCACCAGATCTCATTATAGATGGTTGTGAGCCACCATGTGGTCTCTGGGAATTGGACTCAGGACCTTTGGAAGAACAGCCAGTGCTCCTAACCTCTGAGCCATCTCTCCAGCCCCATCAGGAAGTTTTTTAGCACACCGAATGTTAAAGTCTTCAAATTGGGTCTTTAACTTTAAATAAGCATGATCTGTGGTGTGCTTATCGCTGAGTCTGCTGTGCCTACAGTTCATTTTATAGTTTAGTGACTGGATGGTCAGGTGGTTTGTAATCACCCTGGATCCCTGGCTAGTGATGCAAATCTTACTGATAGAATATAAGGCTTTTTTTTTCTAATTAACACACCCAAAACTGATGTGTAGGAAAGAGTGTCGACTAAGTCGGTTGTTCTGAAACTGAAATGGTATTTTACCAATAAAGGATGCCTTTCCTAATGTCTGGAAGTTCCTGAGATGAAATGGGGATTCTGATAAATGAAACAGCTCTTGTTGGCTAAAGCAGCTGGGCTGTGTGGGAAACTTGGGGCAAGTCTGTAAAAAGCTAGGCGGTATGGATTTCTTCTGTTTAAACTTCTGGAAGATTGTAGTTGGTCAAGGGCAAGTAAGGCTCACCTCTGTGGTGGAGGTGTCTGATAAATATCCTCCTTTCAGCCTAGCGGTCCATCCTGACAGGATCACCATAGCAACAGGACAAGTCGCAGGCACATCTAAGGATGGAAAGGTGAGGTTTGTTCATTGTCTTCCTGGTTTTGGTAAGAAATTGGCCACAGCCTCCTGAAAGCACTTTCAATGATGACTCTTCCTGGTCAGTGCTGTTGCAGCATCTAGAAACTTCTGGTCCTCCCCAGGAGGTCTCACTACAAACTGGATGTGCCATCGTGACCTTAAGCCCCACCCCCGCCCCCAGCTCCTCCTAATTTCAGCAAATTTTTAAATAGCATTATCGCTGGCTGTGGTGGCACACATCTTTAATCCCAGCATTTAGGAGCCAGAGCTGTGGGAGTTCAAGACCAGCCTGGGCTACATAGCAAGACACTGTCTTTAAAAATAACAAATAGCAGCAACAACACATTTGAAACTGCAATGTCTTGCCAAAGAATCAAATAGTTCTTTAAATTATTCTCTCCATACATGATCAGCATGAAAATATAGCACTAGAACAAGCAGAGTTAAAATCACAAGGTACCCATATGCTATGGGAAATCCTTGAGTGTGCGTGCCCACCAGCGGGTCGTGGGGCATGCCTGGGCTGATCACAGAGGCTGCTGGGAGCTTCAGGAAAGCTCTGCAAGTGCTTTAGCAAGACTGCAGCCTGGAGTATAAGGGAGGAGGAGAGGGAACTAGTGGAGCCTAACAAATAGGACACTTCCATATTTGATTGGCTTGTTTTATTAAAACTCTTACAGCTTCTTAAACCCCTGTTTGTACAGCTTTGTCCTTGTGTAGAATATTGTATGAGACTAATCAGAACAGGGATGTTCATTTTTACCAACATTTATCCATCCAGAAAACACAAACACTGTCTTCTCTGAGAAGATGCCTTTCATGATATAAAATTTTAATCATTAATTTTTTGCTGTTTTCCATTAACATTCTACACTTTCAGAGAGTGAAATGACAGAAGCCAGGCTACTGTTGTGTAAACTCACATAGACAGAACAGTTGTTCACTTTTTTAAAAAGAAAGAAAAAAAAAAAGGAAGAAAGCATTGAAGAGCTCTTTGACATTAAAAACAAACTGTTCCGCCCTCTAGTGGCAGGAAAGCGTATCTGCATTCTGGCGTTGGACTTGAATTCTTGCTAGAGGCAGATTGCACTATGATGCTCTCGTTGGTGAAATGTCACTTCTAAATGAACAAGAGGAATGTCAGTTCCTCTGGTATGGCTGCTGGAGAGTGGCTAGTCAACGTTTAAAAGTTAGTCGCCTTCTCCTGACGCCTCAGTTGCTCGAGGGGCCCAGGGTCTCCTTAACTGGGAATAGTTTAGTTACACCCAGGGGTGGACTCCTCAAATTCGGAAAAAGACCTCTTGGTTGGCAAAGCTGAAGTCACTGTCAAAATAATTCGACAGTTCCAAGGCAAAGGGAAGTGACTGGCTGGCAGTCACCATGACGGCCGTGTTCTTTTCAAACAGCAACTGCCGCCACACGTGCGCATCTGGGATTCCGTGACGCTGAACACGCTGCACGTCGTTGGAATAGGCTTTTTCGACCGGGCTGTCACCTGCATCGCCTTCTCAAAATCTGTGAGTGTGAGAACGGCCAGGGACACACTTCCAGACAAGCATTTCTGGCCCCACGGCGTCCAGCCTTTCTCCAGGCATGCTGGTCCAACAGACCCATACTGACGCCACTTCATTTGGGAGACCCAAGTTCATGCTTGCTCGTCCACATGCAAATTCACGCTGAGCACGTCTGCTTGCTTACTCCCATAGTGCTTTGCTCTGCATATAGTCCTACAGGAGCCATGTGCCTGGCCGGAAAAGCCAGCCTCAAAAACAAGGAGTGAATGGTCTTTATCTCGGCCATAATGGGCCGGTTATGTGTGTTGGGGGTGGCATGTGTAAGCAGGTGCGATCGATGGGAGTGGGCATGCGGGGGTGGGCATGCAGAGACACCTCACCTCTTGTCCCTCACCTTGTTTTTGAGGGTGTCTCTCACTGAGGCCTGGGGCTGTCTGCTTAAGCCAGGGTAGTTGGCCGGAGAGCTCTAAGGATCCGCCTGCCTCAGCTTCCCCAGTGTTGCCACACCATCAGAACCCAGCTGTGGGTGCTGGGGATCAAGCTCACACTCAAGCAGCAGGCTCCTTGCCAACTGAGCTCTTCACCGAGCCTTGTAATGAGCCCCTTACCAAAAAGTAAAATAATTGCCAGGCGCACACGCCTTTAACCCCAACACTGGGGAGGCAGAGGCAGGCGGATCTCCGTGAATTCAAGGCCAGCCTGGTCTACAGAGCTAGTTCTAGGACGAGGGCTACACAGAGAAACCCTGCTTGGAAAAAAAAACAAAAAACAAACAAAAAAAAACAAGAGTAAGATCGATGACCATGTTGAATCCTGTTTGTCCCACTTTACTCTAACGCGCAGGCTTCTCGTGGCTCGCTTTTGTCTTGGCAGAACGGAGGAAGCCACCTCTGTGCTGTGGACGACTCCAACGATCATGTGCTGTCTGTGTGGGACTGGCAGAAAGAAGAGAGACTGGCTGATGTGAAGGTATGGCCCAAGCCGTTCACAGGGGCTAAGCCTCGTCCCTCAGCCCTGTTCCAGCAGGCTCGAGGCCCACTGTCCCCACCCTGGGAACAACCCTTCCCTTCACATTTCTTCCTTCCCTCATGAGTCCCCTGCCTAAGACCAGCTATGGCATTTCCTGTCTCCCAGGGTCCATGGAATTTTTTTTCTTCCTTATTTTCTAGTGACAACCCTTATTTTAATTCCTTCAGTCACGTGTTTGCTCGTTTTCGTTCACTCAGCAAACCCAGGTGGCCACTGTGTGCTGGGCCATGACGGAGTGCTGGGTACCTGCCAGTCTCGGTGGCTGCGGGGCAGGTAGCTGCCAGCACTGGGGTCACGAGTCTGCCTCGGATCACCTTTGCTTAGAGTGTTGAACTGGCACTCCTGTAGCTCCCCTACAGTTTCGTTTTGCAGAGGCCACCCCTGGATTTCTATTTTTACAGAACCCTCTTCTCATTCCCCCTCTTGGCATCTGTCGGCCTTGGTTAACCTGACTTATCCCTGCCTAGAGAAACCATCAGTCAGCCTTAGGCTTGCTCAGACAGCCTTGCCACCTTGTGGGTTGCCCTCAGGCAGCCGGAGCTACCGAGCTCTCTGTCCAGCGTCTGCAATGCAGACCTGTGTTCTAATCAGATGTGTTTCCTGGCCCAGCATTCCCTGTCTTCTGATGCTGCCCGAGGGGATGTATGGTGTTCGCCCCATGTGCCAGGTTAGAAGCAGCCGGAGACAAAGGACCAGCCAGGATTGAGAACACAGAACTGAATCAGCACACAGAAGCAAGAGTCAGGGCCAGGCATGACAGACCAGGCCATCAGGCCTGGAAGTGCTGAAGTGGCCAGAGTCTTATGCCACCTCATGAGACCCCGAATGAACCCTGAGCCTCAGGCAGCGTTCCAGAAGCAAGAGAACACCTGGGGACTGAGGGCGCTGTGATGAGGCAGGATCGGGTGATTGGAGGGCACGCAGAGTCCTGGGTCTGTCCTAGGGATCCCGGTCACTGGGAGGGGGAAGGCGGTGAGATACCGCCCGAGGAGTGATCCCACTGCTCAGCCAGTCTCCGAGCCGCCTGCTCTGTGCTGCCTGACATCCGGCTTCCAGCCATAGGGGGATAAAGGGGAAAACAGGCAGCAGCTGGAATAACAGTGCAAAATGAAGTCAGTGGGGCTTGAGAGGCCCAGCGCCCTGCTTGAGCAGCTTTGATAAGCCTTGGAAGAGGCCTGTGGCATTTGATTCTGTTTGGTTTTGTTTCTCGTTTTCTTAAAGTGTTCGAATGAAGCAGTTTTCGCTGCGGATTTCCACCCCACAGACACCAATATCATCGTCACCTGCGGGAAGTCACACCTCTACTTTTGGACCCTCGAAGGAAATTCCCTTAACAAGAAGCAAGGGTTGTTTGAGGTAAACTGTGCCTTTCGTTCCGTCTTCCAGTGTGGCACCTGTGAGGGGCTGGGTTTTAAGAGAGCGTGGAGACAGCTGAGGCTTAGCATTTGTTTTAGTGACAAGTGTGAAGGTGTAGAAAAACTGGTGCTCCCTCGGAGTACCCCATGCAGTTGGGAAACGCCCCGTGTCTTGAGGCTCTCCCTGGTAATAAAATAAAAAGGGAGGTCAGAGCCCCCTGGTAGGGCACCTCGCTGCTAGGCTCTGGCACCCTGGATTTTCAAAGGCTGGCGGAGACTCAGTGTGCCCTGTCCATCATTCTGAAAGCCTGACAGCATGTCTCATCCCTCGTGCCCCCCTTACCACCACCCTGCTTGAACTGTCTGCAGCCAATAGAAATCTCAGCAGCTAACCAGGAGGCACAAGTTTCCTGACAGCACGTAAAACTGAAGGGCCCCAAAGGTGACTGCAGAGGCTGACACCGCTCATCTGGGGTTCGGTGGGGTCTTCGGTAAACAAATCCTTACTTGCTGTGTTCCACAGAAACAAGAGAAGCCAAAGTTTGTCCTTTGCGTGACGTTTTCTGAAAACGGTGACACCATTACCGGAGACTCGAGCGGCAACATCTTGGTGTGGGGAAAAGGTAACAAGCAATTGCCCTAAAGCTATTTGATGTTTTTTGGTAATGTAACTAAGGCGCTAGAGGTGATGTTTATAGAAATGAGCTGATGGTGTCATGTACAGGATGACCACTACGTTGCCCGTTACACAGGTGTGTTTGTGTGTGTGCTTTTAATGAAACCTCAAGCTAGGATGGAAGGAAACTGGGGAATGTTAAGAGTCATTGACTTTGCATATACCATTTGTAAAAGGCCCTTTAAGGCCAGGATACTATGACGGAGCTAGTCACTTTGCTAAGAGAGCAATTAGCAAATTATTGCTGTTATTATTATCATCATCATTATTATTACTGGTTTTTCAAAAGACAGCCTTGGCTGTCCTGGTCTCACTTTGTAGACCAGGCTGGTTTTGAGCTCAGCTCGATCTGCCTGCCTCTGCCTCCCTGAGTGCTGGGATTACAGGCCTGCGCCACCATACCCAGCTTGCAATTAGTGGAATGCAGAAGTTATTAATGGCTATACAGCTGTGACATATGTGGGTAGATTTTCTGATCCACATAGCGTCTGACAGATATTGCTGGAGTGCTACAAGCACTGATCCCTTTGAGACCCATGTTTATAGGTCAGATCTGAACCCCCTGCAGTTAGAGAAGGGAGAATGTCACTCAGAGACGAGGAGTCAGTCAAGTCATGAGAATTCATGGTTGGGCCTGAGAATGGAGGGGGACACAGACTCCCCACTGTAACTTCAGAACAAGGTGACTTCTGTTCCCTTCTGCTCTTGATACCTGCTGCAGCGGTGCTTATCAGCTCCTTAGGAGAGCCTTGCAGGGTAGGCAGTAAGCCCACTCCACAGAGCGGGGAGCTGACACAGCCCACTAGAGAGAAGGCAGAACGCACACGAGGAGGAGTTCGTGTTCTTAGCCATGCAGCTCCCATGACATGGTGCTCTTCTCTGTTATAGGTTGACCCGGTTCATGCATGCTGGGACAGACTCTGAGAATGTCAAAGATCTGAGTCCTTGCTAGGAATGTTCTATAATGTCATAACTCAACGTAACACCTTAAAACAAACCGAGATGGGGCCCGGTGATGGTCCGAGGCCTAGCCTTTTGATTCTGTCCTTGTTAACGGTGCTTTTCCTGGCATGTTTAGGTACAAATCGGATAAGCTACGCAGTCCAAGGGGCCCACGAGGGTGGCATTTTTGCACTTTGTATGTTGAGAGACGGCACGTTGGTGTCAGGAGGAGGAAAGGACCGGAGGCTCATTTCCTGGAATGGAAACTATCAAAAACTTCACAAAACGGAGGTAAACCACCACGAGGGCCCTGCACCTGTTTCTGTGATGTCTGCTACGGTTTGGATTAGCTCAGAGTTTTGAAAAAACACACTGATGAATTTTTATGGGAGACAGCAATCTCAATTAGCATACAGTGTATGCACAAGTAAAATAAAGCAGGATTTGAGGCCATCCAGCTCTTCTTGTTTGGAGCGTTGTTTTAGGAGAAGCAGTCTTCATTTTCCATGGCTCCCTCATGAACACATGGACATAGATAAGCCTACACACTTGGACCACTAGATAAGCCTCTCTCCTTTCTCCCATGCTCAGCACACTGCTTGCGTATAGCTCGCTGTGAACCGCATGTTGGTGTGTTGGTCCCCTGCTTTAGTCACACCTCTCAGCCGAGGGCTTGCATGCCTTCTGACACGTCCAGTCCTCCAAGGTTCATTTCGCCACCTACGACCTGGAGAGCAGCTCGCCTTCCCACGGGAGGCAGAGACGCCTGGCACCCGGCAGCCTCCCTGAGTTTTCTCCCCCTGGCTTCCGGTCACCATGAGGCAGGTTGTGACGTCAGCATCAGTGTGAGGGGCAGCGCTCCATCCCTAGCGTGCAACGCACGTTCAGGATCCCTCCAGCTTCCGAGCCGCACACTGCGTGTGTGTGGCACTGTTCGGGGCAGTATGGAGTTGTCGTTGTCATGGTTTCTTACCAGAGAAAAGCTTTCCTCTGAGCCTTTTGGCATGAGCAGGCCCATCCCTTTCCATGATGACTTGGTATTACGTCTTTATTTATGTATTTTATATGTTAGAGTGTGTGTGTGATGTGTGTCATATGAACATGTGTGTGTGCACACGCTCATGAGCCCTCATGCACATACTTGTGGAGACCAGAAGAGGATGTCAGGTGTCTGCTCTATCACTCTTTACCTTAGTTCCTTGAGACAGGGCTGCTCAGTGAGCATGGAGCCAGGCTGGGAGCTAGCAAGTCCCACCCTTGCCCCCTGCTGGCACCAGAGGTGTGTACAGAGATCTGCACTCAGGCCCTAGTGTTTGTGTGGTGTGTCCTCTTACCCACGGAGCATCTCCCCAGCCACCCAGGAGGACCTTAATCTTGGTAAACATATATATATTACATTATATATGTATAGGCTCTTATTATATTATAAATACATACATATTTATGTGATATATATATATATATATATACACACACAGAGACCAGGGTGACCTTAAGCTCATTGCGTCGCCCAGGCTAGCCTCAAACTCACAGTGATATTCTTGCTTCAGCCTTCTGATTTCTGGGTACATATGTCAAAAGATCATGGGTAAATTCCAAAGGTGTGCAGTTTTTGTTTTCCACGTCTGTCTCGTTAAGACTCAGCACCCCAGAGGCAGAGGCAAAGGCAAGAGGTGAGTATGAGGCCAACCTGATCTACGTAGAGAATTGTAGGACAGCCAGGACTATAGAGAGAGAAGACCCTGTCTCAACACACACACACACACACACACACACACACACACACACACACACAAAGCAAAACGAAAAGAAAAGAAAAGAAAAGAAAAGAAAAGAAAAGAAAAGAAAAGAAAAGAAAGGAGGAAGAAGGGGAATGAATAGCGGCTGGACCGATGTCTCAGAGGTTAAGAGCACTTGTGGCCCCTGCAGAGGACCCAGGTTAACTTCCCAGCACCCTGTACTGTGGCTCACAACCACGTAGCCCCAGTTGGAGAGAATCTGACATCCTCTTCTTGTGTTCATAAGCATACATGCGATGTACATACACAGATACATATAGACAAACATTCATATATATATATATGTATATATATATAATAAAATAAATAAACATTTGAATGAAAAGAAGCAAAGACAATATGGACAGTTATTCTTAGAGATTCATGTGAGAGAATGCATTTTATAAGTAACAAGTGAGGTGAGAGTGTATTGTCAGCAGGGAAATTACCATTATGTTGTAATATGCTCTATTAGATGAGGGGAGAAGAGCTATACATATTGATAGTACTGACTGAATGGGAGATTTGCAAAGATCTAAGAACACATCATTGGACGGACCTGCTCAGCTTATCACTGGATAGAGCATTTGGAAGCCCTGGGGAATTTATCTAGTTTAATCTCTGTTCCTTAATTGAGCAGAACTCTGGGTCCCAGCATCAGACGTAGACCTGCGGGGGTGGGGCACCCACATTGCCCTGAGAAGCTCTGCGTTTGTCTGTCCCACTGAACTGTGGGGTGTGGTCCCTTCCTTAGCATTATTCTTTGTTCATCATTAAGCTTGATGATGAAACTGTGCTGGAAAATCACCAGCAGCAGGAGGGGGCTGGAGAGCTGGCTCAGCGGTTGAGAGCGCTGTCTGCTCTTCCAGAGGTCCCGAGTTCAGTTCCTGGCAACCACACGGTGCCTCCAGAGTGCTGGGGTTAAAGGTGTGCACCACCACTACCCAGCTAGGATCCTGTTTGTGAAAACCAGTTCTACACAGACATCACCACGCGTCCGAATTAGACACAGCTTTCTAAGTCCCAGCTTTCCTAAGTCTTTGTTTCCAGTTTCTCGTGATGGGTAAATTCTTGGATTTTTGTTTTGCTTTGGGTGTTTTGTTTTGGGGGGTGTTGTTTGTTTATTTGTTTGCTGTCGCTTTTGCTGTTGCGGTTGCTGTTGTTGCTCCTGCTTTCTTTGCCTTTGATCCTCAACGTGAACAGGCAGCCCCCTTCTCCTGGCATTTTAAGATCTTGAGCACACGTGTGCCACTCCACACCTCTGGCATCTCAGAGGAGAGTAAAGCCAGGAGGGGGCCAGGACATGACACATGCTGAGTTAAGTTCCGTAACAACAGTTCCGAACAACTATGACGTTTTTGTAATAAGATTAGATCGGCGTTTGGGGGAATGTGCTGTGAGCTACAGTCCCGGGCATTCGTATGTCACGCTGTAAGGAAAGTACCGGACCCTCTTCTGAAATCTTGGATGATCTCACTCACCTTCAGCAGCTCTGCCACACAGAATGTCATTTCTTTTTTTCTTTGTAACTTTTCTTTTTTATAAGAGAGTTTTAGCTTTGAATGTGTGTGTGTGTGTATGTTTACATGTGTGAGTGCACAATCACACCTGTGCATGCATGAGGAAGCCAGATGTCGACTTTTGGTGCCATTCCTCAGGAGCCGCCACTTTATTCTTTGAGACAGCATCTCACTGAGCTGTGGGGCTTGCTGACAGCGAGCCCCTGGCATCTGTCCACCTCCACCCTCCCAATGCTCCCAGTGCAGTTGGCTCTTTTCTTTCTTTCTTTTTTGTTCTTTGGTTTGGTTTGGTTTTTTGAGACAGGGTTTCTCTGTGTAGCCCTGTCCTGGAACTCAGTCTGTAGACCAAGCTGGCCTTGAACTCAGAGATCTGCCTGTCACTCCCAAGCGCTGGAATTAAAGGTGTACACCACCACCACCTGGCCACATCTGGCATTTTTCCTGGGTTCCAGAGACCAAACTCTGGCCCTTGAGCTTGCCTAGCAAGCACTTAACAGCTCTTATCAACTGTTAAAGCAGAATGAGAAGTGTGAGTGTTTGCAAAACCTCCTTCATTGTGCTTGTTGATAAGCATGGGGTACGCGGGGTCGGGAGACTTTCAGAACGCACCTGTCAAGAAGAGTTCACTCTGCTAAAGTGAAGTGTGTTCTTTACTATAGTAAGAAGGCTGGGGCAGCTGGGCCAGGGGCTGTCATGAGGCATCCAGGCCTAGCATGGTGAGACAGGTCTCCCCGACCCACACTACCACAGTCTCTACCTGTAGTGCGTGTGTTGGCAGAGACTCAAGAAAGGGCAATGACTGAGCTGGTGTGGTGGCATGTGCCTGGACGCCCAGCGCTTAGGAAGCTGAGGTGGGAGCACTAGGAGTTTGAGGCTAGCCTGGGCTGCAGAGTGAGAGTCTATGTTTAAAAAAAAAAAAAAAAAAAAAAGAACGGGGATAAAGCTTGGGAGACAGAGCGCTCAGTCTGCTAATCTGCATAGTAAATTCAGGGCCAGCCTAATCTACATAGTGATTCTCTCTCTTTCTTTCTCTCTGTCTGTATGTCTCTCTCTCTCCCTCTCCTCTCTCCCTGCTCTCTCTAAAAAAAAAAAAGCCAAATTTAATGAAATCTTAAATCTTCTTCATATGACTCTTTCCCAACAGATTCCTGAGCAGTTTGGCCCAATACGGACAGTGGCGGAGGGGAAGGGCACTGTCATCTTGATAGGCACAACTAGAAACTTCGTCCTGCAGGGCACCTTGTCGGGGGAATTCACACCCATCACTCAGGTATCATCAGCTTGGCGAGTGCCACGCTCTTGCATTTCGCCATTAATGCAGAGGCACTGGAAGGCGGAGGTGGGGGGGGGGGGGAAGCTCGCCCCTGAGTTTCCCAGGGAGGTGGCCTTCCACCTCAGAGTTGTGTTTGGGGTCATGACTAAGCTTGGGAGAAAGAGCCAACAGGAGACAGTTATTCAGGCATCGTGCGGGCTCCTCTGCTGATCTGAGTGCCTGTGTCTTGGTTCTTTGTAGGGTCACACTGATGAGCTCTGGGGACTGGCCATCCATGCCTCCAAACCTCAGTTCTTGACCTGTGGGCATGACAGGCATGCCACTCTCTGGGACGCTGTCAGTCACCGGCCAGTCTGGGACAAAATCATAGAGGTAAGAATGCTCGCTACATTTCTGGTTTTCTGGTAAAAACTCACCTGGGGTGTATTTTTTTTTTTTTTTTGCATGAGATTAACAGTGATAAAAAGATGTCCAAAGGCGATGTTTTTCTCTTTTAATAATTACATGGCTTTCAAGAATGCCTCAAGCGGTCTCAGTCTATCATTCTGAACAGCAGCTAGTTAGAGTTTCCAAGTGGAGCGGTCAGTTCCTGACAGCAGAGTCGTAACTGGTCAAGCGCTGAGAAAGCCCTGTGAACAGCCTGTGTTCTGGGATGGCACGTCCTACCCAGAGTTACAAGCCACACTGAGAATGCGCAGTCTGGCTTATCCCTCTCTGGCGTGTGGCGGCAAAGACAAAGCATTTGTTTTGAACGTTACAGAGGAAACACGGGCGTCCCCTGTGTGGAAATCAGGCTTGCTTCCCTGAGCTGTTGGCACACCAGGCCAGCCCTCACAGCTGCCCCACACACACCCTGGGGTTGAGGAATGTTAGCTTTGCTCTGACCCTGTTGATGATCAGGAAAACGGGGAACGGAAGGGCTGAGTTACTTGCAAAGGTCACTAAGGTAGTAAGTGGTGGCTGGAGGGCGGCTCAGGGGCTGAGAGCAGCAGCTGCTCTTGCTGAGAGCTCAAGCTCAGTTCCCAGAACCCACACGACAACTCACCATCTGTAATTCCAGTTCCATGCTATCTTTTTCCGGCCTCTGGGGGTATCGGGCATGCATACTTATACAGTTACATACCTGCAGACAAAACACTTATGTACATAAAAAAGTAAGCGGCCTGGCTGCCCGGCTCAGGCTGACTCCCACACCCAGCCTGTGTGAACACACCCACACCCCAGTGAACCCCAGGCAGTCTTGGTTGGTTACTTGTGCCCTAACAACACACACCCTGGATAAGGAAACAGTGCTTGTACAGTAAGTACCCTGGATAATCTCTTTATTCCCTGCAAAGCTGCTGGCATTTCAGAGGGCCAGGGACCAGGACTGGTTCCCCTGTCTTCCACTTTCAGAGAAGGCCTGGGGGGGGGGGGGGCAGGCATCAGCGAGAGGTCCAAATGTACAAACTATGGCCCAGAAGAAGGGCGCTTACTTGTCTGTGTCTTGCCATTACTGAGGATAGGATAGACTACAAGATCAGATAGAGAAGTTCTGCAGGGACAGGTGTCTACTGTGATTGAAACACGACATGGATCCGAGTGGGGCTGCATTGTCTTTCTTGTGGGGAGAAAAGAAGCTCTTCAAACAGAGCCATGTGGCCTCAGAAGAGTGCTGCACGGGTGCGGTGTCTGGCCAGCTATTTACACTTCCTTTAAAATGTTTTAGGATCCAGCTCAGTCCTCCGGTTTTCATCCTTCAGGATCTGTGGTTGCCGTGGGGACACTGACTGGGAGGTAAGCCCCCCCCCCCCCAGCACAGCCTATGCTTTCCGAGCTGTGGAGAGTGCCTCCCCAGGGGCAGGGGCAGGGGCAGGGGCAGGGGCATGCCAGCTTTGGCTGCATCTTCTCAGCACCAGTCATTTACTGAGAGCTAAGTCCAAAACTCAAAAGCGAAACTGAGTCCTTTTCATTTGAAACCTTGAGGAAAGCCATGGATCTGTCAACATGGCTCCTCCCCAGTCTCATCCATCCTTAGTCACCCGGTCTGCCTGCAGCTCCAGAGGCTCTTGGAGGGCACCCAGAAACCCACACTGGAGAAGTAGTTCTCAACCTGTGGGTAGTGACCCCAAAATGGCCATTGGGAAAACACAGATATTTACATCGCGATTCATCACAGGACCAAAATTTCACAGCATGAGAAACTGTATTGAAGGGTGACAGCATAAGGAAGGTTGGGGACCACTGCCTTAGATAGAGCCTGTGGCAGGAGGCTTTCAGCGTGGGCAAGAAAGCATTCCAAAGCACGGGGAGACTCTCAGCCGTGTAACAAGTGCCCTGGGCCTCGTGTGCAGACTGGGCTCCCTGTTATCACTTCCTCAAACACACTGTGCCTGCTCCCGGCTTCCCCAAGTAGCAGCAGTGCGTCTGTGTGCCAGTTATGTGAATGCTCTGAGCTATCTTTCTTGACTGGGAGTTACGGTAGCACCACCAGCGACTGATGGCTGAAAAAGCCACGTACGTGGGGGCATCTGCTGAGCTGGCTAGCGGGTGATGGCGGCGGCTGGCATTCTCACTGGTTGGCAGAGCTTGGCTGTGCTTCCGTGTTGTCTGACTCACTAGAGCAGCCCTCAGGGGATGTGGCCCAGGCCCCCTGCTGGATGTCTGGAACTGTGGTCAGTGCAGAACCCCACACAACCCCGCTAGCTCTCTCTCCGCACGCATGCCTGTGATAAGACTTACCGGAGTAATTCCGGCTAGTGAGAGGTGAGCATCGGTAACTAAGAGTGAGACGGATCCGCTGTGACTGTAGGCATCTGTACAGATGGTTTTGTGTCGAAGCATCTGGTTGTGCTTGACTCCCCACCCCCTCCACACACACACACACACACACACACACACACACACACACACTGTGAGGGGCTAAAATGAGTCAGTCCCTCACCGAGATGAAGTGAGTTAATGGCAAAATGTAAAACTTAAGAGTCTTTTTTTTTTTTTTTTCTGGGTTTTTCCATTCAGTATTTTCAGGCTTGAAGCTGGTGAAGGGCAAGTGAAAGCACAGAGAGCAAAAGCCTGGATGAGAAGGGGTGGAGTCTATCACAGCTCCAGGCATATGCTCCCTCTTTTTGTCCCTTCCCAAAAAGCAGACCATTCAGATTCTGCCTTTCTACCTGCAGAGTTTAGAGAGACAAGTGCTAATAAGTGATAGCAGCAGTGTCTTAACATTCCTTCTGCAAAACGCTTGCAGGGGAGGAGCTGAGAGGTGGCTCAGTGGTTCAGAACACATATTGCTCTTGCAGAGGACCCAGGTTTGTCTCCCAAACCCCTATCAGGCAGCTCACAGCCATGTGTAACTCCATCTCCAGGGGGATCTGGCACCCTCTGCTGGCTCCCTCTGGTACTGCACTTGTGTACAAAAACAACACACAGGCTCACACATGTATACATGATTTTCTTTTTATTAAAAAAGAAAAGCTCTCATTTACACACACAGGAACACAGGGACTCACCCATACATATACACACCATCTTCTGTTTAACTCTCTGTGAGACACCAAAGTTTAATTCAGTAGACCCTGCCAGATAGGGTCCACCTTCCTGCTGACAAAGGACATGTGACAGCATTCGAAGCTGATGTACCCTAGGATGAAATAAATGGAAATAAATGGTGTGACCTAATCTCCTACCGTTCTGTCTACTCCTCCTCCATCTCTGGTCCCAGGACCAGATGCAAGCTAACCCCAGACCATGTGGCATATGTGAGGTAAATGGTGGTCACAGATCCAAGAAATCCCAGCTGGAAGCAACATAAAAGTTCTGTGACGCTTCCCCCCAACCCGGACATAACTGTAGTTATGTAGCTAGGTCCCGAATGGTAGAGAGCACGGCAGTGTCTCTGTATCTGTCGTCCAGGTCTGAGACCACAGCAGCCTGGAGTCACAGCCGTAGCATGGGACCATCATCATTTGGATGCTTAACACCCTGCTTTTCTACTCCCTGGCTAGTCCTGGGGGCCCTGATTAGCCCCAGTACAGTAGGGAGCCCCTCACCTCTCCAACCCAGACTCAGAGATCCCCCTTACCTGGGACCAGAGTTCTGGGACAGCCACCTCATGCCCACACCTCTGCTGCACCTCTGACCACAGGCCCTGGGAGCCACCTTTCTGCTCAAGGCTCTCCTGCCTCCCACATGCAAACAAGCCTCTGAGAAGCCGTCAGTGCTAAGTTCTGAAGAGCTTCGGGTGGCTGTCAGTGTGCTGTTTCTTTCTGTAGGGAAAGCTGATGTGGGGGGTTTATTGGATAAGAGCCTGTCGAGTAACAGGCTTCTGTTGCTGGTAGCCTTGGCTTCACCAAACAGCTTACCGTGCATTTCTCCTGTTGACGACAGGTGGTTTGTGTTTGACACGGAAACAAAGGACTTGGTCACCGTCCACACAGATGGAAATGAGCAGCTGTCGGTGATGCGTTATTCACCAGGTCAGAACACAGCTTTCAGATTCTCACAGATAATGTGATTTTGTACAAGAGACAAGTTGACAGCTTTCTTCCAAAGGAAACTTAAGCGTGCGGTTTGTAGGGCTCACCTTCCTCCATGTGTTACTGTGCAACTATGTGTTTTAACTTTGTATTACAAGTCTCTCTCTTCCTTTCTCTCCCAACTACTGTCTCTCCCTCCCTTTCTTTCTCCCCTCTCTCTCCCTTCCTCCTTCTCTCTCTCTCTCTCTCCCCCCTCTCCCTTTGCTTTTTGAAGGCAGGATTTCCCTGTGTAGCCTCACTGTGTAGACCGGACTGTCCTTAGACTCACAGAGATCCAGCTGCTGCTGCCTCCCAGGTACTAGGATGGAAGGCATGCAGCGCCACACTCAGCTTGTCTTACAGAAAGCTCAACCACAGAGTGAGATGGGGTGTCAGGCTCCCCCTCATTACCAGGCTCAGAAGTAATCACTCTGGTGCCTTCATGCCCACTATACACGTGTAGCTCAAAGGTTCATGGGGCTCAGGAGGTGGCTCTAGCCACAGTGTGGGCCGTGCAAACATGAGTTCCAACAATCTATCTCGTTTTGATAAATTTATATTTATTCTTCTAGATTTATTCTTGTTATTTTTATGTTATTACAAATGAAATTTTCTGAATTTTATTTTCAGATGTTTGGTTATTAGTATATGGCAATAAAGTTGAATTTCCCCTATGGCTCTTATATACTTTTTTTTGTTTTTGTTTTTTCGAGACAGGGTTTCTCTGTGTGTATCCTTGGCTGTCCTGGACTCACTTTGTAGACCAGGCTGGCCTTAAACTCACAGAGATCCGCCTGCCTCTGCCTCCATGAGTGCTGTGATTAAAGGCGTGTGCCACCATATACAGCTCTACACTCACCTTTCTAAACTCTAATGAGTTTTGAAGAGGTGGGGGGTGCCATGTACACATATGTATATGTATGTATGTTGTTTGTATGTGTACATGTATGGTTTGTATGTGTTGATGTGTGTGATTTTGTGTGCATATGGTCCGAATATGTCTATGTGGTGTTCACAGTTTGTGTGATGGATATATGTGGTGATGTGTGTATATACGTTTGTGTGGTTTGTATATATGTTTATGTATATGTGTGTGTGGTGTGTGTATGGTTGCGTGGAGGTGTGTGGTATTTGGGTGTGGAATGTGCATGTGTACTTGTGTGGTTTATGTATGTGCATGTGGTATGTGCATGATTTATGTATGTGCATGATTTATGTATATTTGAGTGGGTATGTTTTTACATCCATGTGTGTGTGTGTGTGTATGTGTGTGTGTGATTTCTGTATGTGTGTACTGTGGTGTACATGTATGTATGGCTTATGTGTATGTGTGTATATAGCCCCTGGGATTTTCCTTATCCAATGTTAGGTCACCTGTAAATAAAAAGTTTGCCTTCCATTTGGGTCCAGGTGATGGCTCCTCCAGTAAAATGCCGGCAGGGCTGGCCAGGGTGACTCTCTCGTTTGGCTGTCAGTATTTCATCGTTAGGGACAGAGATGCCATTTAGCATGAGAACATTCCCTACTGCCCTGATTTTTCTCAGCAAAGTAAGTGTTGGGATTTGTGAAATACTTTTCTACATCTGTTAAGATGAAGAATGTGGGGGAAAAAAATGTGCCTTGTGTGGTCATTTTTTAAGTCCATCACTTGGGAGGCAGAAGTAGGAGGATCTCTGTGAATTCGAGCCCAGCCAGGTCTACAGAGTGGGTTCCAGGACAGTCAGGGATAGTGAGACCCTATCTTTTAAAAAAAAAAAAAAAAGTAGAGAATCTGGATTTGTTCTTTTTAAAATGTGACATATCAATTTTCCAACATTTAGCCAACTTCACATTTCTGTAATAAATACTCTTTTGATTGCAGTGCTTCCCATCTTTTCTGTGTTGTGAATATCTTGTAGAGGGTTATGCTTTCAAGGTTGTGGGAAATGTTGGTCTGCAGTGTTACCGTGATGTCTCCGTGAGGAAAGTGCTATTGGCCTCATAGAGAACGGGGAGGCACACCGTCCTGTTTTGTCATCATGGTAGGGAGCATGGCAGCAAGCAGGCAGGCACAGGGGCAGTAGCTGAGAGCTATATCCTATCTGCAGGCAGAGAGGAGGGGGAGAGGGGATGAGGGGGAGAGGAAGAGAGACTGGTCTGGCATGGGTGGGCCTGTCATGAGCTTTTGAAACCCCAAAGCCTACCCCCAGTGACATACTTCCTCCAACAAGGCTACACCTAATCCTAATGCTTTCAAACAGTGCTACCCCCTGATGACTAAACAGTCAAACCTAGGAGCTTATGGGGGCCATTTATTAAAACTACCACAGTGACCACAGAGGGGTGGGTGGGTGGGTGTGGGTTCCAGCATCAGCTCTGGAAGCTGGTGTGATCTCAGGCAAGTTACTGTACCATCCAGCTTAGTTCGACTCCTAAAATGCAGGGCTGGAGACTTCTGCCTCATAGAGTTGTCACAGGGTTGAGCAGGTTAGTGTGGAGAATGTTTCGACAGCCCTGGCCCCTAAGCTGACACTGGGAAAGTGACAGTTACGAAGCAGTGGTTGTCAGTGCAGAGGGCTGTGGTCATGTGTAACTGTTTAAATTATCTACAGTTTATACCAATCAACACACAGAAGGTGTAAACTGAGGTGAAAAAAAAAACAAAACTAACCTGCCAGCTCAGCGAGGTCGCTTTATTTTCTGAACTGTATATAAAATGTCAAAACAGCTATTTACAAACTCGATCCTACAACTAAACTGCTAGCACTTTAGAAAGCTTTCTATCTACCCTGTTGGCCCACCTTTCTCTTGAGCTCCTCCAAACCAAAGGGGGCTCCTTAGCGCTTTCCTTGAATTTTGCCTGTGTCCTACCAGCTGCTTCTGCGTTGTTTCCACAAGCCCAGAGACAGGGTCACTATCTCTTACCCGGAACTTCTCCAAAAAAGCTCTTCAAAGCCGAGAGAGAGAGATCCATCAAAGGTCCAATTGCTTATAAAAGAACTCTCTAGCTCCTCCCCTACACCCTTGCCAGGCTGAACTGTGTCACCATCATGGTGGGGTGAGGGTTGGTGGGAGGGTTCCTAGCCACGTCAGTAGGGACCGAACCATGTCACCACCACAGTGAGGCAGTTCAAGGCCACCCAGCTGACTTTGTCTTGGGTCGTAAAGCAAAGACCACAAGACTGCTTTCCCAAGCAGCTTGCCCTAGGACAGGCAGGAACTTTCCATTCCTTAGCAGTCTTACCTTTGGAGGCTTTTAGAGGCACACCCAAGCTGCAGCTCTTCCAGACTCACGTAACTGCATCTGACAAACACAGTATCTAGGCTCTTTGTTTTGTTAACAATTAGGTTTTCTACGCACTATGATAAAATAAATATCCTGAAACAATCACGATCAGATGGAGTCAGTACAAGGACACTGGCTTTTCTGCAGTAGCAGAGCCAGCAGTATGGACCGTCTGTCTGCCCGGCATCCCAGCTTTGTAGTATTCTTTATTTTTCCCCTTCCTTCTCCAGCAAATATGCTTCCCCTTTCTCCCTTTGGACGCTCAAACTTCTTAGGCCGTTTCAACCTTGCCTTCCTCCCCATTTTGCTAGGACATCCTAAAATACCAATTCCTGGCCCCAGGCCAGGCCACCCTATGCAGTCCTCCTAGGGGGAGAGAACTTGGTGAAGAGCTGGGGTGTGCCAGTGGCTGCCAGCCACTTTCCAGAGGCTGTCTAGTGAGCCAGGCTAAGGGCTGTGACAGGTGGCCTGCGCGGGCTGCATGGACAGGGATGGATGGACAGCAAGAACAAGGGCATGCCTGCAGCCAGTCCTTACCCATCGTGCCTCACTTCATTCTCAGCTCTTCTCCCAACAACTTGAGGTCACCTCTCTGTTACTTCCTGTCTTTTGTCCTGGTCCTGCTCAGGAAACACTGGAATTTCTGGATTTATCTCCAGGCTCTGTTTCTTCTTGTTCTAGTTCTCCGCTATCATCAGCTTCAGCTACTTCCGCTGGTCAGCTCTGGGAAGGGCTCTGCCACCCTTACCAAAAGCTCCTTGTTTGGCATCCCAGCGCCAGCACTGAGTCCAGCAGCCTAGACATCCCTGGCGCGGGGTCTGGAGAGATAGTTTTGTGATTAAGAGCCCTAGCTGCTCTGCAAAGGATCTGGGTTTAGTTCCGAGCACCCACATAACAGCTTATCACCATCTGTAACTCCAGTTCCAAGGGCTCTGATGCCCCCTTCTGGCCTCCTTGGGCACTGCATGTACACAGTGTGCACAAATACAAACTTACACGTGGACCAAATAAATACATGCACAAAAATAAACCTTTAGAAATTATATCTTAAATATTTGAAAAGGAAAACTTTTACCAGTCTCCATAACCATGGTTTCATGAGTATTTTTCAAATTAGTATTTTTCAAATCCTATCCTGAAAGCAGTATAGGATGCATTGGGAAGCAATGCTTCCCTTTGAATAGTTCATTAACTGTTCTATGTGCTCGGAATCTGTGGTGGCAAATAGCGTTTTCTCTAGTGATGGATCCACTGGCGACGTCACATTTGCAACCTGCCCTGTCTCTGCAGATGGGAACTTCCTAGCGATAGGCTCCCACGACAACAGCATCTACATATACGGAGTCGGCGACAACGGGAGGAAATACACGCGAGTTGGCAAGTGCTCCGTACGTTTTTCCGCTTCCTGGGGATGCTCCCGTGGTCATTTCATTACAGTGGTGTGATGTCTGCCGAGTTCAGAGAGGCAAGAGAGATTTACCCAGTGTTCTCCTCTCCCAGGGTCATTCCAGCTTCATCACCCACCTGGACTGGTCCATGAACTCACAATTCCTGGTGTCAAACTCTGGGGACTATGAGATCCTTTACTGTGAGTAAGAGGGCAACACGACACGGCTTGTCTGGGTTTGAGTTACACGCTGTGAGACTCCCATGGGCCTCCATGGGATGAGGCCCTCTCCATCCCTCGTGTGTCCTCTGTGATTCGAGGCATTGGTCTCACAGCCCCTTGGAGCCTTCCTGTGCCCAAAGAGCAGCTTTGAGCGATGTGGGGGAGGGCCTTGCTAAAGGGCAGGGGAAGAAGCCGATGAGCCCTGCGCAGAGGTCCTGGAGGGGGGACAACCCCACAGTCACAGTAGGAGTGGTCCTGGTGAAGGTACCCCCAAACAGGCAGGGACTACGAAGGCCCTCCCACTTGAGTGGGTGGGAGCCCTCAGACCCTCTCCATCTTCCCTCAGCCTATCTCCGGGTCCTCGCTGTGCCTAAGCGGGACCGGGGTGGAGGGAGGATGCTAACGGCAGCGTTTGCTGAGTACCCGCTATGTGCCTCGCTCTGAGTGAAATGGCGTGGAGATCACAGGATGTGAGAGCATTCTGGCCTCCACCCATGGGGCTTTATTTAGGGTGCACAGTGCTCTTTGCCTTCCCTTTCTCATGATCCACAGTCTTACTTTCAGGCTCATCCCCTTTCATAAATAAAGAAATTTTGTGAATAAAGGTTCAGATGCCAGTGAAGGGCCAAAAGCCAGTGTGTAGAGAGGAAGTTATACTCTCCTGAGGCTGTTGCTCACTTGTTAAGGAGCCTGGGAAAGGCAGGGAAGAGAGGCAGCAAGTTCCAGAAGGAAGCTCCCTCCTTCTTGGGTCCTGCCTGACGCAGGCTCACAAGCAGGCTGACGCGGTGGGGATGGGCCTCTGTCTAGAACCCACCCAGATACGGGCACCAGCGCTGTATCTGTTAGTGAAATTTGCTTGGGAAACAGACAGACCACCCTGGAGGCCTTGCAGAGACTGGTTTCCGTCTCTCCTCACAGTTGAAGAGGCTAAGGGGTATGCGTGCATGCATCCGTTTGTCTGTGTCTGCTTGTCTGCATGTCTATGTAGGTGTCTGTGTGTGTGTGTGTGCATGTATGTATGTCTTTCTCTCTGTGTCCGTGTATGTCTGTCTTTCTCTGAGTATGTGTGTGTGTGTGTGTGTGTGTGTGTGTGTGTGTGTGTGTCTGCTGGAAGGGGGTTGAACAGTGTAGAGGCAGGGCAGGGTTCAGGCCTATAACGAGAACACTGAGCAATGGGAGGCTAGGGATCAGAGACTGGTCACAGGTGGATAAGGACACCATTCCCTGAAAAACCGACCACTGCGCGCACGGTTCCCATGGGTGGGAAGGTGGGTGGTCTTCCCTGATGGGGGCGTGGCTCTGAGGACCCTGCCTGGTCCCAGGGAGAGCTGGAGCCTTGGACGAGAAGTCACAAAGTTGTTTGCTTCTTCCAGGGGTTCCGTCCGCCTGTAAGCAGGTCGTGAGTGTGGAAACCACGAGGGACATCGAGTGGGCCACCTACACCTGCACCTTGGGGTTCCACGTTTTCGGTAGGGGTCCACATGTCCCTGGCCTTGGACATGGAATGTGTTCTAATGTTTGAGATCACACCAGCTCATCTCTAAGCATTTATTCACTTTTAATTGTTTATTGATGTGAGCATCTTTCTGCATGCATGTCTGTGCACCGTGTGTGTGCAGTGCCTCGTGAAATCCAGAAGAGGCCATTGGATCCCTTTGGTACTAGAGTTACCCATAGTTGTTAGCTGTCATGTAGGTGCTGGGACTCGAACCCTGGCTCTTAACTGCTTAGCCTTCGGTCCAGCCCCACCACCTTCAGTCCTGTCCATTTAGCTTTGTGCCTGCCTGGGACTGTGATACACACTCTCCTCAGCTCCCTGATCAGGCCAGGTGAGAGGGATGAGGAGGTGATTAACCCTCCCCAAGGCACAGGGTGGTCCTCCCCGCCCCTCCTCCTGGGCTTATGTGGGTGGTGGTGTATCCACGTGAACCTTCTACTCTTAGTCTAAAATGTTCACTTCCTTCAAAGTTCCTTTTAGGAATAAATTCTCAGATAGCCTCAAACAAGCTGTTAAAATAATCTGAGCAGTTGGGAATCAGTAGGCTGATAGGAATTTCTAAGTTCCCCAGTTTGGCAGCTTTCTATTTTCCCAGCGTTGTGTGTCAGGCCCCCAAGGTTGACACCAGGGCTGCCCACTGAAGAGCTGGCACACACCCAGCCCTCTGATATGCGAAGTTCTCAGCCCAGGACACAGTGCCCCTACCTACCAGGCGCCCCTCCCTGCCTATGAGGCTGTGAGGTTTAGTGACGCAGGGCTTCTCAAGGCTGACCCGGCAGAGACCAGATAGAGCCAGACAGAAGCCGGAGCAGGAAATGAACATTCTCACGGTCCTTGTCTCTAAAGCCCAGACCTTGGATGTTTGTTTGTTTGATTGTTTGTTTGTTTTTGTTTTGGGGGATCTTGGTGACCAGCTTTTGTGTGTTGTGCTCTGCGGTTTCCAGTACTAGCTGTGCTCTGTTTCAGGGGTGTGGCCGGAGGGCTCAGATGGCACAGACATCAACGCCGTCTGCCGCGCCCACGAGAAAAAGCTCCTGTCCACGGGCGATGACTTCGGGAAAGTGCACCTCTTCGCATACCCCTGCTCGCAGTTCAGGGTAAGACTCAGCCGTCGCCACTTTTCTTACGGGGCGTGAACTGGTGGTCTGACCTGTTTGAAAACAGACTGTGGGTGAGGGCTGCCACCATACAGCCCTGCCAACATGCTGCCTGAGCACCTCTCAGGGTCCCCACTACCCTCGGGGCGACCTCAGCCAGGCCTGGCCTACAAGCCTATTTTACGTGGTATTTCTACCTCCGCAGCTACGTGGGCTTCACCCTCACACACGCACACACACATTCCTACTCCCCATCTCCCCGTGCCCACTCCAGCCCTGCTGAGCTGACCAACCCCATGCCTACATTGCTTTCCTGGACCTCTGTGAATCTGAGCATCTTTCAGCCAGAAGCCCACAGCCCTTACCCCAACAGCTTCTTAATCCCATCCTAGGGTCTGCCTCGGGTACAGCCCTCTGACACTGCCAGTACTTGATGTTAGGCCTCTCAAGTGCTTGCTTCTGTCCCAGGGTCTTCTTTCCGCACCCCTCCCGAGTCTTGCACCCAAAGTGGGTGCATAGACAAGAGCAGCATGCGAGGGGAGAGTGTGGCGGGGTTATGGGGCGATGGAGAATTCAAGCATTTCCTGGGGCCACCGTCAGCTCTGTGTAAGCGTTCCTCCTTGCCACGCTTTCGCAGGCTCCAAGCCACATCTACAGCGGACACAGCAGCCACGTCACCAACGTCGACTTCCTCTGCGAAGACAGCCACCTCATCTCCACGGGTGGGAAAGACACGAGCATCATGCAGTGGCGGATCATTTAGTGCCCACCGGATCCCTGGGAGCAGATCGTGCCCAAGGAGAAGACGGACTCGCGTTCCGCTTGGTCACTGTGATTTCTGTCTTGTCTACAAACTGTTAACAAACCTCAGGAAAACTGTCCCACTACCGGTTACCTTAGTTGGGGAGCCAGCGCGTGTCACACCAGAAAAGCGGTCTCACATCCGCTTGTGTCATAGAGTGCAGGATAGAGTGCATGTTGGGTAAAGAAAGTTCCCAAGGTTTACATGGCAGTGGCATCAACAGAGGGACTGGTGTGTCCTTTGGTGTGTCCTTATAGTCACTTTTCTATGAACTCTTCAAAAACGGTCACAGAATGCCTTTTAAAATATTGTATATAGTCTTCACTGCTTCACTTGCTGTCAGATATTTATGATCACGAAGTACGGAACTGGGGTGGTCGCTGACTAACTGGTCCTAAAAGGATGAGTCACAGAACTGATTTGCCCAGCTGAATCAGGAATGCAAATACCAGACTCCCCTTGATCATGTAACTAGAGAGCTCATTAACTCCTCCCTTTGGGAGGCTGGTGGGAAAGGGGCTGTGTCCTCCCTGGATAGGCAGCTCCTACTACAGAACCCCTGGGCTTCGGTGGGATGGATGGGTGCTTCCACGCTCTGCTTAGACTGTCCTGCCTGGGGATGCAGCCAGCTTCTTTGGCACCTCCACAAATTGCACCCCAAGTCTCTGTTCGAGTGCCCTGATTAATGGCGAGACATATAGCCACCTCCCTCTGTGTGTTAATGGCATGACACGACATTGTCCTCGTATAGAGTTTAGCAGCTTGTGATAAAAGGCCTGAGGCAGGGCCTCGCTGCGTGTGCTCTGGACACTGGACATTTGTACCTGACAACAAAGTACATCAAGTCGGAGAGGGACCCTCTTTGGTATGGCTGCATCCTGTGGTGTACAGCATCTCTGAGGCTCTGGGTGCTAAGGCAGCTTCCTTTCCTGACTTGGCTCACGGAGAGTGCACGGCATATGGACTGAAACTATGCTCCAATGACTAGAACGTAGGTGGTCTGAAAGTGTCAAGAAGGCCTTATCCATTGTGTGACAGATTGAATTGATTGTTTACATTGGGGACTGTATCTTGGATCTTTAACTAGAAGAATCACAAACAGACTGAAGGACAAATGATGGATTTTTTTTTTAACTCATTTAAGCAAGTAAGTGAATTGAGTTATTTGAATTCTCTAGCACTGGTTGTTTAGAGTGGCTGATGAAGGACGACATGAAGACAGTGCCCTCGCCACCTCTAGCCTGCTGTGAAAGGGCAGAGCGCCAGAAAATAACGTGACTCAAGATGAAGCTGTTTGTATGTATCCGTATCAAATATATTCTATAATGAAATAAAACCTGGAAAGTGGACTTCTTACTGACCTGTGTTTCTGAAAGCATATAAGTTAAAATATTTACGGTTAGATGTTCACACTGCATCCTGACCCCCTGCCAGAGGTGCCCTCTCCCTGGTCCCTTGAAGATGGGCTTCTGTTTTGCAAACAGCATTGAAGCCTTCATCAGACAAAATGACCCTCAAGGATTTGGCCTAATGGCCTTGCCCGCCTGTTTGTTTCTTTGGCTGTGTAAATATTTGCAATATAGCGACTTTTAAATGATAGTTGAAGGAATAATCAGATACCAAGGAAGGGAAAGAGATCCATGACATCTTGCATAGTGGCTCCTTTGACATTACTATGACAAAATGCCTGACAGAAATCACCTCAGGGAGGGAGGATGTGGCTTAGGTTATGATGTCAGAGGCTTCAGGCCACTATCACTTGGCCCCGGGCGTTTGGGGAGAATGTCATGGTGAAGGGAGGAGATGGAGAAGCATCTTCACTGTCTGGTAGTGAGGAAAGAGAGCAGGCAGGAAGAGGCCAGAGACCACAGACAGCCAATGGCCCAACCTCAGTGATGGCTGCCTCTAGTGAGGCTGCACCTGCCAAAGTTCCCAGAAACCCCTACAATAGCCGCAACAACTGGGACCAAGCACTTGAGGTCTACGGAGGGCATTTCACATACAAACACAAGCAACTGATAAATCAAGAGGAGATACATATGTGCGCATGCTCGTATTTAGGATATGTGCTTACAAAATATTCTATATTTTATTAGCTATGAAGACAGTGATAATAGTATATTTTATTAAGCCAACCATTAATTACAAAATTAAATATAATATAGTAATTGTTCATAAGAAGTTTTAAATAGCCAGGCAGTGGTGGCACATGCCTTTAATCCCAGCACTCAGGAGGCAAAGGTGGATCTCTGTGAGTTCAAGGCTAGCCTGGTCTATAGAATGAGTTCCAAGACAACCACAGCTTAAAAGAAAGAGAGAAAAAGAGAGAGAGAGAGAGAAACCTTGTCTCAAAAAACAAGTATTAAATAGCACTATTGCTTTGGTACCATATTTAAATGGTTCAGTGTTAGCCAGTATTTGCTCAGTATTCATATAGCACACAATGATGGTTTACCACTGCTCACGCCATCCTGCGGCCAGGGAGCAAACTTGTCTCTGCTTGTATTCAGGAAGCTGGAGAGAAGGATGTAATTAAGAGTCTCTGTAACACAGACGTAAGAACAAATTTGTTTTCTAGGCTTAAAAAACAAGTAGGTGTCTTAGCAGCCATGCGTTGAAAACTGTAGCGGTATTTAGCATCTCTTCAAACTTGGGTTAAACCTAGTTCTTCCCGCTTACCTGGACAGCTCCCATTGTCAAATGCATTCCGCCACCTAGGGGCAAGAAAGCAGAACACAGCTCCTCTTTTCTGATTTCAGCACCTCGTGGAGAAGGAGAAAAGTAATCTCTTACTCCTGCTGAATAGCCTCTGTGCTGCGTGGGGACACAACCTGGCTGCTCAGCGGAGCCTTCAACAATTCCTGGAAGACCCTCTGACATCTCTGTAGCCTTTGGAACTGGGAAAAGGCCTCATGTTTAAGGAGTGACTTCCTCCTTTGAGGGTCCCCCTTCTGAGGCTGGGGGGTTGGGTGCTGCTGGGCAGGAACCAAGGTAACACACTCTGACTCCCTTGCACGGAGGCTCACTTCTCTTCATGTTTGTGCCTTACTCCTGATGCCAGCTTTTTCTGGGCACCTGACTGATAGCTACCCTCTTTTGCCTTTGGAAATTTCAGCCAGGGGCAGCAGATCCAGGGAGCACATGTGAGGGCTCTCTCTGTGGCTTGGGATGAGTCAGAAATGACCCACTCTCCGCTCTTCGCTTCTGGAGGTAACATGGTGTGATCGGCAGATCAAGTCCTCCGCCCCCAAAAAGATTTCCCTCCCAGCGTCTTTTAACATGTTTTTTAAATTGTTATTATATTTATTTATTTAGTGGGGGCTGGTGCAACCGTGCGAACCATGACCTACCCACGTGGAGGTCAAAGCACAGCTGGAGGGATTCAGGTCTCTTCTTTTATTCTGTGTGTTCTGGGAATTGACCTGGGCTCACCAGGCTTGCCAGCAAGCATCTTTGTTCCCAATGAGCCTTCTCGCTAGCCTGTCTATTTAAGATTTCCAGCTCCTGACCTTGGATGTTTGTAATGTGCGTGAGGGAGTCTGCAAGGTCCTGGGAGCCTTTTGTAACCTGAATCTTGGTCTATGGAGCCTTCGAAATGCCTTATCTGGACCTTGGCTCAAGGGCTCAACACCTAGTTACGTCATCAGTGCTGCCGTGGCCAGCCCTAGATGCCTTCTTTGTGCATCTGTGTGGTACATTCCTTCCTCTCTACCCTCCTTACTGAGGAATGGGACCAGACAGACATGTTATGGTGTGGACACTCCTAGGATGGGCCAGCAGCAGAGCGAGACACCCTCTGCTCCGCTTCCCAGCCACACTTACCCGGGGCTTCTCGGTGGCTGATGGCAGGGCTAAGGGAAGAATGTCAACTCTCTCAAGCCCTGTCCTGCAGTCCTACCCAAACCTTCCCAAAAGCACCTGCTGGAGCCAATACTACAAGAAGGGTAGAGGTACTGCCTGCTTTGTACAGTCTGCAGTGAGCAGAATGACAGCTGCCTAGCCAAGGCCTGGACACTTGTGTGACTAGAAAGCTGGCCATTTCCCCAGCTGGAGCTCTGGACATTTTCCCTCCCAACACTGACCGGTACTCCACACATACTGTCCAGGTAAATACTGATACAGGATGTGTTTAATTATTGTGATGGTTACTGTTGATTATCAACTTGCTTGGCAGGGGTCTTGAAGCACCATGGAAACAAATCTCTGGGCCACATCTATTAGGGATTATCTAGATTAGGTTAATTAGGCAAGAAGATTAATTTTAACTGTGGGACACCCCATTCCATGGGTTGAGATCTTGAACCGAATTAAAAGGAGCAAGTGAGCTGAGCAGCTTCCTTGCCATGATTTTCTGACCAAGCCCTTAAACTATGAACAGAAATAGAGAGATAGGTAGATAGATAGATAAACTTCCTTTCTTAACTTGCTCTGGTGGCAACAAAAACAAATAACAGATACTCTTAAAGGAGCTTTAACATAAAGAGGAAGAGGAAGGCTGCGTCCATCCTTCGTCCTTACCTCCCCAGCACTGGCTGGAAATGGACAGGTGTGTGAGAGCTTTCCTGGGCCTCCATAGTTCCTATCAACTTCTTTAGGGCTTTGGCAATGGAACAGGCTCCTAGACAAAGAACAATCCTCTCTTCTTGTCCCTGCTGGTAGGTTAGTTACCATGGCAATGGGGTGGGCAGAATAGAAGACCCTAGAAAGAATTTGGTGATATCATTTCTGCTTATAACATAGCATGCCAACTACTTCCCAACTCCCAAACCTGGAGTTCTATGTCTCCAGGCCATGGAAGGCTGATGTCACATACTCTGTGATTTTTTTTTTTTTTTTTGGACGAATGAGTTTCTATGTTTTTAAGATTACCAGAAGACTCTCAGATCATGGCTACTAAAAAGGAGAGTGGGTCTAGCCCCGCCCACTGCCCAGCTTCCCATGTGACCCCGTCACTCCCACAGTGGTCCTCTGTTTTCATGTGGTTCATTTTATTCTAGTGTACACTGAAGTGGCAGGCTTGGATACAGCATGTCTGC